CCACTCTGTCTGCTCCCAGGACCTCCATCAGCCAGGGTGACAGGGAGGGGGAGGGTTGGGCTGCCCCTCTGTAGCCTGGCGGGTGAGGGGGCCTGATGGTGAGTGTGTGTGTGTGTTTCAGGAGCACAGGGCCTCAGGTGGGGGGACCACCCCAGGGGGGCGGAGGGGTAGGGTGGGCCCCAGGACACAGTGGCCTGCCCGGAGGGGGGCAGCACAGCTGACTACCGGCCCCATGGCCCTGCAGAAGGAGGTGATCCAGGCCCTGCCGAAGCTCATCAAACTCAACCCGATCGTGGTGAAGGAGGTTTTCAACCGCCTGCTGGGCACCCAGCACGGTAGGCGGGCTCTCTGCCTGGCACTGGGCGCTGGGAGGCCAAAACGGGGAGAAGCCTACAGCTGAGGAAGCTGCAGTGGTGTGGGCTAGGGGAGCCATGCTCGGGGACCAGCCTGTGGGCTCAGGACACCCCAAAGCAGAGCCCACCTCTGCTCCCCTAGATGGCTGCAGTGGGGTGTCCTCCCAGCTCCCTTGGTGCCATTCACCTCTTCCGCCCTGTCTCCCCCCACCCCTGCTCCCCCTGCTGCAGGTGAGGGGAACTCGGCCCTGTCCCCCCTGAACCCCGGAGAGCTCCTCATCGCGCTGCACAACATCGACTCGGTGAAGTGCGACATGAAGTCCATCATCAAAGGTGAGGCTCCTGTCCCCCCAAACCCACCTGACCCCGCCGCCCTCCCATGGTACCTGCCGCTAGCACAGGCCCAGGCCGTGGTCCTGGCCACAGCAGCATGGTGTTGGCAGTGAGCTCTGGCTGTCCCCTGTGGTCACCGCCCTTGCCAAGCTCTTGCCAGGAATCTGGTGCTCCCTAAAAAGCCTGTGGCCCCTGCTGACCTCAGCACGCCTCCCCTGTGCGCTGACTTCCGTTCTGTGGACAGGAAGCAGAGAGCTCGGAGGTCATGTGACTGTGTCAGGACACCCGACAGCTGAGGCTTGGTGGCCAAGTACCATCAGGTCTCATGAAGGGGCGATGGGGAGGGTCCTGCCCCCGTAGCCACTTTCCCAGAGCTGTTCTCCTCCTACCCTCCCTGTCAGAGGCGGTGGAGGCCTTGCGGTGGCCCTCCCCTGGGGCCAGCTGCCTGTCCCAGGGAGCCCGGAGCAATGGTGGGCCTTTGCTGACTTCCTGGGCGAGTTCTCTTGGGCGGAGATCCACAGCGCAGCAGGCGCTAAAGCCTGGGGAGGGCAGGCTTGCGGGCCCCAGGCTGTGCAGGAGTTCTGGCCCCCTGGTGAACTGAGGCAGGTTGGCCCACTCCACGGCCAGCTCGGCAGCTCCACGGCTCAGTGAAATGCTGCTGGGTTCACTGGCATCCTGTCCCAGCACACGGTGGCCGGCAGAGGTGACAGCAGGTCCCTGTTCCTGTGGGGCGCCATTGGGGTTCGTGGCCTCTCACTCCACAGCAGAGCCACCCCCGACAGCCACTCGTAGTGAAGGCGGGAGCTGTCCGCTTCTCAGGCTGGCCTTTCTGCGGGTGGAGACTCCCCATCAGGAGACCCAGCCCGGCAGTTAGAAAAAGTCACGGTGGGGCAGGGACAGCCCAGAGAGCGGGGCAGGCAGAGCTGCAATGGGGCAGCCACAGGGTCACCTGCCCCAGCCAGGGTGGTGGAGCATAGGGAGGGCTTCTGGAGAAAGGACTGTGCCAGCTGAGACCAGGGAGAGGAGGTAAGCAAAGGGGAGGCAGTCGCTGGACCCCAGACTTGAGGGCAGAGGGGCCCTGATCAGGAGGCGAGGCACAGTTGTAGCTGTGGTCTGTAGTAACAGCCTGGGGCCACCCACATGGAGCTGCACAAGCAGTGGGGAGGGGGCTTGGCCTGGATCCCCTGAGGGCCTCCGGGAGGGCCCGGTCTGGTTTGAACTTCAAGATGTCCCCTTCCCTACAGCCAGTGGCTGTGTGGACTGGGCGGGTGGCTGGGGGGCGTCCCTAGGAGAAGGATGCAGTGGGGTGGGACTCAGGGACGGGGGATGTCAGGGGAGGGAGAGTAAGTGAACCCAGGAGTGCCTGGCTGTGTGGAGATGGGGCTTCTAGGGTGGCCCCTGCCTGTCACGCCATCCACCTCACCTCAGCACCCTCACTCTCCAGTGAGCCTCCAGAGGGCTGGGGGCCTCTCTTGTGGCTCAATAAAGACTTATGGCTCACTGACTCAACGTGGCAGTGGTGTTTGGGGGAGCAGCATCTCGTGAGGGTCCAGGGGCTGAGGGAGCACAACCCTTCTGGCAGCCCTCCCGTGTCCCCTCCACATCCCCCCACTGCGCCATCCCCCGCTGTGATGGGCCTCAGGCATCTGGCCGTCTCTCAGCCCCTCAGGGGCCTGCCTCCAGTGCCCAGCTGTGCCAGGGGGCAGGGCACCTTCCTGGCCTCGGCCGTCGTCCCTAGGGGCCAAGAGCTCCCGTCTTTACCCTTTCCCCCTTTCCCAGGGTGGGGGCTCCCCAGTCTCAGGCTTGCCTGTCCTGGGGCAGAGCCTGCAGTTTCCTGAGACCCAGGACCCTGGATGGGGTGGTCTGCTGAGCCAGATAGTGGGGCTGGGGAGTGTCTTCCTGTCTCCCTGGGAGCTTTGGGGGCCTGGCAGCTGGACTGGGGGTGGGGCTTCTGCACCAGGGGGCAGAGGACGGAGGGGACAGGCCCACTCTCCGCCTCCCCGCAGCCACCAACCTGTGCTTCGCGGAGCGGAACGTGTATACGTCGGAGGTGCTGGCCGTGGTGATGCAGCACCTGATGGAGCAGAGCCCCCTGCCCATGCTGCTCATGCGGACTGTCATCCAGGCCCTGACCATGTACCCCCGCCTGGGGGGCTTCGTCATGAACATCCTGTCCCGCCTCATCATGAAGCAGGTAACGCCCCCCACGCCCACCGGCCAGGAGTGGGCCCAGGGAGGGGTCCCTGACTAAGACAGCCACAGGTGCTGAGGGAGTGTCAGGCTTGGGGTGCTCTGTGTCCCAGGGAAGCCACCCTGCCACCAGTGTTCAAGAAATTAGGGCTTGCTTAGAACGAGAGAGTCTGCAAGCAAGCCCCACGTGGGATGCAGGCACAGCTGGCCACATCTGGCTGAGGCAGCGCCGCTGGTTAAGCAGGGCCAATGTCGCCCCCTCGAGGCCGCTGTGGGAATAGGACGAGCTGGTGGCCAAGCCCAGGGAAGATTCTGGTTTTCTTTTTTCTTCCTTGAGAGACAGCTGTCCTCTGCAGCTCGCACTCCCCAAGCCCCACAACAGCCAGGGCTGAACCAGGCCAAGCCCGCGATGTAACCCAGGTCTCAGTGGGGTCTCAAGTGGAGACCTAGGCACTGAGCCAGCACGTGCGGGGTGCATAAGACCAGGGAAACAGGGAAGCAAAGTTGGGACACAAACCCTGTCACCCCAGAGCAGGTTCTGGGTGGCCCACATGAGGCTCCGGCGGCCAGGGCTGGGAATCCCAAGTCCTCAGAAGGAGGTCTGGGGCTGTGCCGACCCCAGAGGTAGCTGGTGTGGCCCGCGTGGCCCCTCCGTGTCCTGTGCAGGTGTGGAAGTACCCCAAGGTGTGGGAAGGCTTCATCAAGTGCTGCCAGCGCACCAAGCCCCAGAGCTTCCAGGTCATCCTGCAGCTGCCGCCGCAGCAGTTGGGGGCCGTCTTCGACAAGTGCCCAGAGCTCCGCGAGCCCCTGCTGGCACATGTGCGGTCCTTCACCCCCCACCAGGTACCCCACGTGGTGCTGGGGGCGGGTATCCCAGGGCTCCAGCCGCCCGGTGCAGGGAAGAGGGAGTGTCCAGCTGCAAGGGGCAGCTCTCTCCATGGCCCTCCCCCTCGCTCTCCACCCAGCAAGCGCACATCCCCAACTCCATCATGGCTATCCTGGAAGCCAGTGGCAAGCAGGAGCCGGAGGGCAAGGAGGCAGCTGCGGGCCCCATGGAGGAGGTGAGGTTCCCCCAGCCCCACCGTACAGCTCCTTCTCCGTGCTCCCCCCATGCTCCACTGGGCTGCCAGCTGCCCCTGCTCCAGAGGGGTGGGGGGTCCTGTCCCTTGCTGCCTCTTTCCTTGCACCCACCTTGCCTGCTTCCTCCTGTCGGCCCTGGCTCCCCTTCCCGCTGTCTTCTGAGTTCCTGTGTACCCATCCCCAAACCCAGGATGACCTGGAGAGCCTGGCACTGGCCCCCACCCCAGCCCCGGCCCCGGCTCCGACTCCATCCCCGGCCCCGACCCCGCGGCCGCCTCAGGACCTCATCGGCCTGCGGCTGGCTCAGGAGAAGGCCTTAAAGCGGCAGCTGGAGGAGGAGAAGCTGAAGCCAGGGGGAGCGGGAGCCCCATCTTCCTCTGCCGCCGCTGCCTCCTCTTCCTCCTCCTCCTCGGCCCGGTCGGGCCCTCCCCCCTCGGAAGAAGCCATGGACTTCCGGGAGGAGGGGCCGGAGTGTGAGACCCCAGGCATCTTCATCAGCGTGGATGGCGAGTCGGGCCTGAGTGAGGCTGCGCTGCTCGACTCCAGCCTTGAGGGACCCCTGCCCAAGGTAGAGGGAAGCCCTCCCACACGCCCTGGGGCTGAGCAGGGAGGCACTGGTGCGGGCCGGGGCTGAAGGGGCGCTGGGCGCGCCTGGCCTTCTGCTTTTCCAGGAGGCAGCGCCGAGCGGGCTCACCTCGAAGGAGGAGAGGAGCCCCCAGACCCTCACCGCTGCCGGAGAGGACGCCGTGAAGACCCCCAGCCCTGCCGCGGAGGACGCCGGGGAGCCTGAGGCCAAGGGGAACAGCTGACGGGCCAAGGGGGCTGGTGCTTTGCCTTAAATAAAATAAAGGAATGGTGCCCCCGGGCGTGGGTGTTGTGTCTGCGCGTGCTGGCAGGTGCAAGGCTGCGGCTGCGGCTGCGCAGACGTCGCACGGGCCCCTACCCTGGTAACGGCCCTCCCTCCGGGGCCGTGGAAACGGCGTCGCCCGGGCAGGTGCTTGCCAGCCAGCCTCCCTCCAAGTTGCTTGCGAGCCGTTTTGTGCCATGGCAGACCAGTCCCGTGACCCCAAGTATCCCTCCCGCCAATCCCTGGCCCGGCAGGGCTCCCGGGGCTCTCGGAGCTCCCAGGACTCGGACCTGCAGCGCCGCAGTCGGGAGCTGTCGCAGCCCCCGGGCATCTTGGCCGAGGAGGTGCGGCAGGTGATAGCGGCACAGCCCCGGAGTAGCCGGGCCAGCCAGGACAGCCGCTCCAGCCTGCCCGCGCAGAGCCTCCGCTGGTCGCAGGGCGCCGGCCTGCCTATGGCCCAGGAAGCGTGGGCAGGTAACATGGACCCAATGAACCTGGGCTTCGCTCGGGACTTGCAGTCCCAGGGCTACCATGAGAACAGGATCTCAACTGGCGAGCAAAACACCCACCTGTTCCTGCAGCAGCTCCAGCAGGGCCAGGGCGGCCTCTTCGAGGCCTCCTACCAGGATGGGCACACCAACCTCATGGGCCAGCTGAGCTTCTCGCCCAGAGATGACCGCTTCATTGACGCCCACCACGGGCCCTACCTGAGGGACGACCCCGCCCTCCAGTTCTTGCCCTCGGACCTGGGCTTCGGGCCCTTCGCCATGGAGTCACCCGAGCCCCACCCCCGCGAGCTGGCCGTGCAGAACGCCAAGGCCTACTTGCTACAGACCAGCGTCAGTTGCGACCTCAGCCTGTGAGCGGGGGCGGCAGCAGGTGGGGGGAGGGGAACGGCCCCAGCCGAAGCCAGGGGGAGCCAGGGGGAGCCAGGGGGAGGGCCCCACCCTGGCAGCTGACCTAGCGCATCATCAGCTCACGCGGCCAAACAAGGAGCCGAAAAAGACCCAGAGAAGCCAGGGCTGCAGAGGGCTTGCCAAAACCTCCCACGGCTGGGAGTGGGGGTCACCGCCTGCCCACCTCTCAGCTCCCCGAGGCTCCGGCCTGGGGGACAAGGGACCAGGAGGAGGAGGGAGGGGCACAGGCTGAACCACAGGGTCAGAAACAGGAAAAGAGGGATGTGCCTGGTGCAATGGCTCAGTAGCTAAATCCTCACCTGCAAGCACCAGGATCCCATATGGGCACCAGCTCATGTCCCGGCTGCTCCACTCCCATCCAGCTCCCTGCTTGTTAACTAGGAAAGCAATCCAGGATGGCCCAAAGCCTTGGGACCCTGTACCTCCATAGAAGACCCAGAGGAGGCTCCTGGCACCTCAGCTCCACCTTTGTCACCACTGGGGAGTGAACCAGCAGATGCAAGTTCTTTCTCTGTCCTCTCTCTCTCTTGTAAAATCTGAGTTGCTTTTCCAGTACAAATACATAATTTAACCAAAATAAAAAGAAACAGCAGGAGGCCTGGGCTCTGAGGGAGAAGGTTGGGCAGAGAACTGGGGGCAGGAAAGACAGGTGCAGCAGCTATGGGCCCTGTGGGGGTACCCCATGGCCCTCACCTTCTCACCACCTTTGCCTCCTGTGCCAAGCCCTGAGACCCTGGCTCCTGGCAAAGAGCCTGGCGCTGGTCCCTCAAAGCCCTGACTCATGGGAGCAGGGTCAGCCTTCAGGTACAAAGCTGCCTCAATCCCTGCCAGGGCTTGCACGTGCTCCACCAACTCGAGCATCTTGGCAGTGTGGTGTGGTTTTACACACAATGAACAGTGAAGGCGCAGGTCCTGCCCCGCTATCCCAGGGCAGCGGCGTGTTAAGTTACACTGTAGCTAATTTTTGGTCACCCTGTATGTAGTTCTACTTTGTTCTAATCCCTTTAAAAAAAATGTATCAACTGGAGCCCAGTGTGATAGCCTAGTGGCTGAATCCTCACCTTAAAGGAGCTAGGTTCCCATGTGGGCACCAGTTCAAGTCCCAGCTGCTCCACTTCCCATCCAGCTCCCTGCTTGTGGCCTGGAAAAGCAGTCGAGGACGGCCCAAAGCCTTGGGACCCTGCACCTGCATGCTCTGCTTCCTGTCCAGCTTTCCTTGAAGAACACACATGGCCAGCCAGTTTCCCAGGGGAGTCCCATCTACCACCAGGGGATGCAGCATGCCAGTCAACCCGGCGCCCCCGTGCTGCCCCCATCCTTCCCACTCTGTGCACAGAGCGCTCACTGCTGGCTGTGAATCAGAAGCAGCCAACAGCACCGTCCGCCATGCAGCGGCTGCCCCGTGACTGCGTAACGGAGATGTGCGCTGTGGATCACGCACGGTGTACACGTCCGAGCTCAGTGACCCCAGGGAGATGTCTGGTCTCCAAGCACCTGCTGGCCCATGTGAGCGTGAAGGGTGGTGAAGTGGCTCATGCTGACAGTCCCATCTGTCATCACCACTGCCACCACCAGAGGGCAGCAATCAGTGAAAAGCAAATTATCCCCAAGGAAGGGGAGCGCAGCACGCTAACCCTCAGCCTGTAGTGCCCATACGGGCACCGGTTTGTGTCCCATCCAGCTCCCTGCTTGTGGACCAGGAAAGAAATTGAGGACAGCCCAAAGCCTTGGGACCCTGCACCCAACTGAGAGATCCAGAGGGCTCCTGGCTTCAAATTGGCGCAGCACTGGCCATTGTGGTCACTTGGGGAGTAAATCATCGGACGGAAGATCTTGCTCTCTCTCTCCTCCTCTCTGTATATCTGACTTTGCAATAAAAATAAATAAATCTTTAAAAAATAACCATACAGCCCAACAATTTTTTAAAAATATATTCATTGGTGATGATTATTCCCAAAGTCTTTTTTCTACCTGTTGAGGTGCTCTTATCTATCTCCTTTCATATTTACATTTTTAAATTACGTTCTTATTGGAAAGACAGATTTACAGACAGAAGGAAACAGAAAGATCTTCCATCCACTGGCTCACTCCCCCAAGTGGCTGCAACAGCCAGAACTAAGACAATCCAAAGCCAGGAGCTTCTTCCAGGTCCCCCCACGCGGGTGCAGGGTCCCAAGGCTTTGGGCCGTCCTCGACTGCTTTCCCAGACCACAGGCAGGGAGCTGGAGGGGAAGACGGACAGTCAGAACATGAACTGGTGACTATATGGGATCCCGGTGCTTACAAAGGGAGGGATTAGCCAATTAAGCCATTGCACCATGCCCTACATTTATGAAAAATTATTTTCATTTATCATTTGAAAGAGATAGCAGAGCCTTACGTGGGAATGAAAGTGCTGGATCTTCCATGGAAACTCATTCTCTGTCCACTCTGTAAATCTGCTTTTCCAACAAAATGAGTCAGGAAAACTGCTGTAGTCAAAAGACTACTGGATTTAAGAGAGCTCTTCCATCATGTGGTTTATTCCTCGATTGGCCACAGTAGCTGCGGTAGAGCCAGACTGAAGCCAAGGGCACTTCTTCCAGCTTTCCCACATGGGTGCAGGTGCCCGAGCACTTTGCCATCTGCTGTTCCTTTCCCAGACCATTACCCAGGAACTAGATTGGAAGTGGAATGGTCACTCACAGGGCGTCTTGGGCCTATGCACCCACTGCTGCTGCTTTGATGGACGCAAGCCCCCAGCGCCCCAGTCCACACTCTGCATTCCTTCTCCTCTTGCCCATCCCACCAGCACTCCGTTATTAAAAGTGAGTGCAAAACACCTGTCAGCGCTAATGTTTGCAGAACTAGTGGGTGCTTGTCTCCACCAGCAGCTGTGTGTGGGACCCCGTGAAGTGACGTCCCTCTATCTCCCGCCCCCTCCACACGCAGGTATGAACACCTGGTGAACCTGCTGACCAAGATCCTGAACCAGCGGCCCGAGGACCCCTTGTCCATCCTGGAGTCCTTGAACCGCACGACGCAGTACGAGTGGTTCCACCCCAAGCTGGACACGCTGCAGGACGACCCCGAGATGCAGCCCACCTACGAGATGGCAGAGAAGCAGAAGGCGCTGTTCTTCCGCGGTGGCGGCGGGGAGGGCGAGCAGGAGATGGAGGAGGAGGTGGTGAGTGAGGGGCCGGGGCAGGAAGCCCCGAAGCACACCCGCTTCCCCCCCTCTGGAACAGACTGCAGCCTGGAGTGGGGCAGGGGGCGAGGTCAGGTGCCCCCAGGTTTCCCCCTGGAAGGCTTTGAGGCAGAAGAGAAAACAGGGAGAGGGCTCCTTGGAGTCCAGCTTTCTGCTACTGCATCTGGGAAAGCAGCAGGGGAGACCCGGCTGGAGATCCAGGCTCCTGGCTCGCAGGGCTGGCACTCCAGTGGCCTGGGCGCCTGGGCTGGGGTGCTGTACGGTGCTTGATCCGTCTCTGCCCCCGTAGACCGAGACGGTGGTGCCCAACATCATGGAGGCAGCGTTCTACTTCCAGCAAGCCGGAGTGGGCCTGAGCGCGGACGAGAGCTTCCGCGTGTTCCTGGCCATGAAGCAGCTGGCTGAGCAGCAGCCGGTGCACACGTGTCGCTTCTGGGGCAAGATCCTGGGTCTGAGCCGCAGCTACCTGGTGGCCGAGGTGGAGTTCCGAGAGGGCGAGGAGGAGGGCGAGGAGGAGGAGACGGAGGAGACGCTGGAGCCGGGCGACGTGCTGGAGGCGCACGGAGAGGAGGAGGGCGAGGAGGACGAGGAGAAGGCGGCCGACACGCTGCCGCAGCCCACGTGGAAGCCGCCGCCCGCCACCCCGCGCGAGGAGAGCCGCACCGGCGCCAACAAATACCTGTATTTCGTGTGCAGCGAGCCGGGCCGGCCCTGGACGCGGCTGCCGCACGTGACGCCCGCGCAGATCGTGCAGGCGCGCAAGATCAAGAAGTTCTTCACGGGCCGCCTGGACGCGCCCGTGCTCAGCTACCCGCCCTTCCCGGGCAACGAGGCCAACTACCTGCGCGCACAGATCGCGCGCATCTCGGCCGCCACGCACATCAGCCCGCTCGGCTATTACCAGTTCGGCGAGGAGGAGGGCGACGAGGAGGACGAGGGCGGCGCGGGGCGCGACTCTTTCGAGGAGAACCCCGACTTCGAGGGCATCCCCGTGCTCGAACTCGTGGACTCCATGGCCAACTGGGTGCACCACGCGCAGCACATCCTGCCGCAGGTGAGCGCACGCCCGCCGGGACCTGGGTGCACCTGCCAGAGCAGGCCACGCCCCCACCCGGCCCAGCCACGCCCCTGCTGGCCCAGCCATGCCCCTGCAGGCCAATCTCCGCCCCCGCCTGGCCCAGCCACGCCCCTGCTGCCCTAGCCACGCCTGCTCTGCCCCGCCCCTGTCTGGCAAAGCCACGCCCCCGACACATCCCATGCCCCTGACACCTTCCACCCACAACCGCTCACCACCACCTGCTCCGTCAAAGCACCTGCCCCACATTCCAGATGTTGGACTCTGTGGACTGCCTTCCCAATACAAATAAATAAATCTTAAAAACAACAGGGCCCGGCACAGTATCCTAGCAGCTAAACTCCTCGCCTCGGATGTGCCGGGATCTCATATGGGCGCCAGTGTGTGTCACGGCTTGTGGCCTGGGAAAGCAGTCCAGGACACTCCAAAGTCTTGGGACCCTGCACTCAAGTGGGAGAGCTAGAAGAAGCTCCAGCCATTGCCAGTCACTCAGGGAGTGAACCAGCAGATGGAAGATCTTTCTCTCTCTCTCTCCCCTTCTCTCTGTATATTTGCCTTTCCAATAAAAACAAATAAAATAAAAATAAATAAATCTACTGCTCCCCCATCTTCCTCTCAGCCCAGCCTCCCCTCCAATCTGTATGTGACAGACCCTCCAGCCCATCCCTGTGTTTCTGGGGACAGGGTCTGTGCTCGTGTAGGTGCCCTGCCTGGCCCTTCACCTCCTCCTCCCCTGCCATCAGGGGTACTGGCTAGCTTGGCCCCCTCCTTCATATCCTCCCCTCCCCAACTCTGAGCGGGCCACCTGACAGTCCTTCCATCCCCAGGGTCGCTGCACGTGGGTGAACCCTTTACAAAAGACGGAGGAAGAGGAGGAGCTGGGCGAGGAGGAAGAGAAGGCAGACGAAGGGGTGGAGGAGGTGGAGCAGGAGGTGGGCCCCCCGCTGCTGACACCGCTCTCAGAGGACGCCGGTAGGACGACCCCCCGCATCTCCACCCCACACCCCTACATCCGTGGCTGGTGACCCCAGAGGGCTGAGGGTCCAGGTCGGACCTGGTGGGATTGGGGGCGGAGAAGATGCAGAGCAGGTGGCGGTGGCAGTTTGAATGGGTTGACAGAATCTGAGGTTGGGGCCTTGCCTGATAGAGGCCGTGCTCCACCCCGTCCCCCCGACCTTGCTGCTCTCCCTCTGCTGTAGAAATCATGCACCTGTCTCCCTGGACCACGCGCCTGTCCTGCGGCCTCTGCCCGCAGTACTCGGTGGCCATCGTGCGCTCCAACCTCTGGCCGGGCGCCTACACCTACGCCGTTGGCAAGTAGGTGCCCTCCACCCGTTCTCCAGCGGGAGAATCCTGCAGCACCTCTCCCGGGGCCGGGTCCCTCCAGCACCACCGACAGCAGCTGAGGTCATCCCCAAATCCCACAAGTTCCCACTCACCACAACCCCACCTACCCGGGCGGCGCGCTACCGGCTCTGTCCACGAGGGGACAGCACTGCCTCTCCTTTTAGGCTCCCGGGGCACCTGGGGTCTCGCACAGCCTTCCTGCTTGCACCGCGCTCTTGGCAACTCATCTTGAACTTTTCAATGCAAGCTTGGAGCTGAGCTCCCCTCACCACCCCCCCATCCCGCAGCCGTCCACACAGGCAACTGTGTGTGTGTGTGGGGGCTAGGTCCCTGGGTGTAGGCGGAGGAAATATACAGACACTCCAGCCTTGTACCCTGCTGCTGCAAACAAGGACTACCTCACTGTCAATTTTGCACCCAAACTGCCCACCAGCCTTGCCCACCCTGAAGCCAACTCTGCAGCAGGGCATCTTCTGAGCTCTGCTCCTTGGCCCTCTAGGAAGTTTGAAAACCTTTACATCGGCTGGGGCCACAAGTACAGCCCTGAGAACTTCAACCCGGCCCTGCCTGCCCCGGTCCAGCAGGAGTACCCCAGCGGCCCGGAGATCACCGAGATGAGTGACCCCACCGTGGAAGAGGAGCAAGCCCTCAAGGCGGCACAGGAGCAGGCCCTGGCCGTCACGGAGGAAGAGGAGGAGGACGAAGAAGAGGATGAAGATGAGGATGCAGATGACTGAGGCCTGGGAGCCCACCTACCCCGGGCAGATAGAGAAGCACTTTCCCCTTGTACCCGGCCCAGGCTGTGTCCTGGCTGTCCCCCCAGAAACAGGTGTGGCAGAGGGACGCAGCTGTTCCCAATAAAATGTTCCCATAGCATTGCAGCTGAGCAGTGTCATCTGTTTACCATGCAGAGAAGGAGAGAGAGAGATTCCAAATTGGCCACAATGGCTAGGGTTGGGTAGGGGAAAAAACAGGAGCCAGCTTGGGTCTCCCACGCGGATGCCTTGTCCCAAGCACTTGGGTCGTCCTCTGCGGCTTTCCCAGGTACATTAGCAGGGAGCTGGATGGGAAGTGGAGCAGCAGGGACTCAGGCTAATGCTGCTATGGGATGCCAGTGTTGCAAACAAGTCTGGCCCTACCTTTCAGTTTATGTTTGTTCTGGAAGCACTGGGGAGCTGGGGGATGGAGCCGGGAGCGAGGGGGGAGGGTTCCTGGTCACATCTGTGCTTTACAAAGACCCTTGTAGCATCAGGTGTTTGGCGCACTGGCTGTATGGAATGCCCACACCCCACCTCCCAGTGCCCGTCTCCACACCCCCTGGGAGGCAGCGAGTGATAACTCAAACATGCAGCTGCCGGCTCCTGACTTTGGCCTGGGGAGTAAACCAATGAGTGGGAGATCTGTCGGTATGCTTTTTGAATAAATGCATTTTGTTTTGGCACAAAAAGAAGAAAGGCCCCTCTAGATGTCAAGCGGAGGCAGATAGAAGGGGTGAGTCAAGGGGCTGGGGGAGGAGACAGGACTGATGCAGGGCTGTGGAGAGGAAGGAGTGGGGGAGAAATCCGCGCGGGAGGGGGCTGGCAGTGGGGCATGTGGGTGGAAGGAGATGGGACCAGACTAGGAAGACCACCCAGCTCAGGAGGTGGCTGAGTCATTGTGGAGTTCTGTTGGCCAGGAGGCTCTGTTGGGGGGCAGAGGGGTGGCTGTTGGTGTGCGCTGAGGGGGTCGGGTCACGGGCTGGTCTGCGGGGCATTGGGACATTTTGGAACCAGAGGTGGGTGGGCACTGGAGGATGAGTGAGGTTGTTGGAGACAGCGACGTTGAGGATGAGACTGCGAGGGCTGACGGGAGTCAGTAAGTAGTCAGGGCGACAGATGACATTCTTGGGGTCAGCAGGAATGACGCGGGACAGAGGTGGCGACAGTAAGGGTTGGAGATGCTGTGGAAAAATCTAAAGGAGACATTAGGGTCCTCCAGCATGTGGACCCAGCCTTCCCGGCTGGTCCCTCCGTTGCTAGGCAAACGGTTCCTAGGGCGCTGTTGCTAGGAACCGGCGCTTTCCGCCGGTCACGCCCCCTTCCCACCGCGGGTCACGCCCCCCAGCCAACCAGAAGCCGTTCAAAGGCACGGCGGCCACGCCCACTCTCAGGCCCGGCTCACGGCTCCCGAACCGTTACCCGAGCGACGAAGGGAGGTTCGTCCCGCCTTCCGACCCAGGTGCCAATCGAGGAGGCGTCGCCTAGGCGACGGCCCTACCCCTTCCGGCGCGGTCCCCCCGGCGTCCGGCAGCTGCGGGGCCCCGAGGGGGCGCCCAAGATGGCGGCGGGCGGCGCTGAGGGCGGCTCGGGCCCCGGGGCCGCCATGGGGGACTGCGCGGAGATCAAGTCGCAGTTTCGCACCCGCGAGGGCTTCTACAAGCTGCTCCCCGGGGACGGCGCGGCTCGCAGGTCCGGGCCGCCCTCCGCCCAGACCCCGGCGCCGCCGCAGCCGCCGCAGCCCCCGCCCGGCCCGGCCTCGGCCGCCTCCGGCCCCGGCGCCGCGGGCCCCGCGTCGTCCCCGCCGCCACCAGCGGGGCCTGGGCCGGGGCCCGCCGCTCTGCCCGCCGTGCGCCTCAGCCTCGTGCGCCTCGGGGAGCCCGACGGCGGCGCCGGGGCCGGGGAGCCGCCCGCCACGCCCGCGGGGCTGGGCGCCGGGGGAGACCGCGTCTGCTTCAATCTGGGCCGCGAGCTCTATTTCTACCCGGGCTGCTGCCGCCGCGGGAGTCAGCGGGTGAGACCCGGGGCGGGGAGAGGTGAAGGGGTGCGGGGGTCCCCGGAGTGGGGTCTCCCGTGGGTCCCCGCCATCCAGTGCGCTCATGAGGGAATGCAGGATCGTGAAGGGCAATGGATTCTGCAGGGGTGGGGTGTTGGGATGGAGATTCGGGGTACCCCCTCATCCTCAGGGAGGTGACGCCCACCGCAGGTGACTCCTAGATGAGAACAAAGCTCAGGTGCAGGTGCTGTGGGGACTGTCCCCAACCCCCAGAGCCTTGGGGAGCCCAGGAATGAGTGGGATCAAGGCAAGGCCCTTTTGAGGTGACTCTTTAAGGTCTGAGGGAGCACAGGAGGGAAGGCTCGGGTGGGCGTGGCTATGGGACCAGGAGGAGGTTTGAGAGACCCCTGTAGTGTTAAGGTGGGGTGGTGGGCCGCTGCCGCGAGGGGATTAGCAGGAGTACCATGAGGTGAGATGGGATCCACACCATCTGCCCTGTGGGTATGAGGTTGTTGGGCTCTAGAGTTCTGGGGAGGGCATTGGGAGGGCAGGGAGCTAGATTGCAGGGGCGAGTTGTTAAAGAGGCTGGTGTAAGGTTTGGGGTTGGGAGGGAGCGTGGGAAGACCTGAAGCTCAGGGTACCGGGGACCCGGCAGCAGAGGGCACAGAGGGCAGGGTGTGTCCGGCTTCTGGACAGCACCGCAGGGGGGGGGCTTTCTCTGCATTTACTTTCCTTTGGTCCTCTGTGATCTGAGTCCCTTCCTGTCTGTGGTCACACCTCTTCCCACCGGCTTACCCACTTCCCTTAGGGACTGACCCCAACTTCCTCTTGGTGGTTTAACCCAACCTCAGCACCCTCTTCCTTCCTCTCAGTGGTCTATACCATTAACTCCTGTACCCACCCCCTGCCCCTCAGTCCATCGACCTCAACAAGCCCATCGACAAGCGCATCTACAAGGGCACCCAGCCCACCTGCCATGATTTCAACCAGTTCACTGCGGCCACCGAGAGCATCTCCCTGCTTGTGGGCTTTTCAGCCGGCCAAGTGCAGTACCTGGATCTCATCAAGAAGGATACCAGCAAGCTGTTTAATGAGGAGGTGGGTGCAGTGCTGCGGGTGGCTGGGAGGAGGGAGGACGGGGACCAGGGGCAGGGGTGCGTGCCACCTGTGCCCTTCAGTTGGCATCAGCTGCAGGAGGCGAGTGGGGACGGATTTGATGCCCAGGCTCTCGAGTTGCGAGCACATTGCTCCATCCCTGAGCAGCCAGCGGCTTTATCTGCGGGCAGGGGGCACTGTGTCTTATTGCATTCCCAGACCACGCTCATGGCCGCAGGGAGCGAGCGGAGTGGTGAATGCTGCACACTGATGAGCCCCTCCATTCACAGAACCGTTACGAAGCCAGCCCTGTGTGCCAGGCACTGGGGCAAGCGCTTGGGCTAGAACAAAGCCAGCCGAGGCCCTGGCCTGGGGAATGGTTAGTCCATGCCAGAGAAAGCGGGGAATGGTGCTGCCTGAGCCCCGTTGGCTGCATTCCAGTAGGTGGTGACACTGGGGTGAGGGAGGGTGACCCACGAGAGGGGAGCAGAGTGGTGTGGGGCCAGGGTGGACCTGGAGGAGGGACCCGGAGCAGGACAAGGAGAGAACTTCATTGCGTATTTGATCTCTTACGGGCGGGAGGCAGGTGCATTTATCGAACTCAGGGAGCAGCAGGGGCGTTCCAGGGTTGCTGGTGGCCTGAACTGGACTGGGTGGTGCTGGCTGCTGAGAAATCTGGCTCAGGGTACATTGGCAAGGGCAAACCCTCAGGCTGTGTGGAGGGGCTGTATGTGAGAACAGGGGCGCCTGGAAGGGCAGGGCCGTGTCATCATCTGCCTGGCCAGGCAGTATTCTCAGGGAGCCTGTGCTGTGTGTCCCGCCCTGTGCCGAAGGGTATACCAGATGGAGGGCCTGTCCTTAGGCTGCTGCCATTTGTGCTGACTGTTGTGCTTCAAAGCCAATTGGGTTGAGATGGGAATAAGGGACAGACAAGAAGACAGTCCTCCTGGCCAGTGGGGCTGCCCATCAGTCCAGATGGGACCTTAAGGGTCCCAGGTCACCTCCCCAGCAGCTACTGTGCCCTGCGTTCCCGTGACTCGTGTCCCTTGGTGAGGTAGCCCACAGCCAGAGCTTTCTTGGGCTGACCTGGGAGAAGGTCTGCCAAGGGTATAGCCTCCTCCTCCTCCCAAACCCCCACCCCGTCTCCCTCGGCAGCGGCTGATCGACAAGACCAAGGTGACCTACCTGAAGTGGCTGCCTGAGTCGGAGAGCCTGTTCTTGGCCTCCCACGCCAGCGGCCACCTGTATCTCTACCACGTGAGCCACCCGTGCGCCTCGGCGCCGCCACAGTACAGCCTGCTAAAGCAGGGCGAGGGCTTCGCCGTCTACGCTGCCAAGAGCAAAGCACCCCGCAACCCGCTGGCCAAGTGGGCCGTGGGCGAGGGGCCCCTCAACGAGTTTGCCTTCTCACCCGACGGCCGGCACCTGGCCTGTGTCAGCCAGGACGGTTGCCTGCGAGTCTTCCACTTCGACTCCATGCTCCTGCGCGGCCTCATGAAAAGCTACTTTGGGGGCCTGCTGTGTGTGTGCTGGAGCCCCGACGGCCGTTACGTGGTCACCGGGGGCGAAGATGACCTAGTCACTGTGTGGTCCTTCGCCGAGGGCCGCGTGGTAGCCCGTGGCCATGGCCATAAGTCGTGGGTCAACGCGGTCGCCTTTGACCCCTACACCACGCGTGCAGAAGAGGCTGCGGCCACTGGCGGCGACGGAGAGCAGAGTGGCGAGGAGGAGGAGGAAACCGAGGGCGGGGGCGCCCCCCTCTCGCCACTGCCCAAGGCTGGCTCCATCACCTACCGCTTTGGCTCAGCGGGCCAGGACACGCAGTTCTGCCTGTGGGACCTCACAGAGGATGTGCTATACCCACACCCACCCCTGGCCCGCACCCGCACTCTGCCTGGCACCCCCGGCACCACACCGCCTGCTACCAGCAGCTCTCGGGGTGGTGAGCCCGGCCCAGGGCCCCTGCCCCGCTCGCTCTCCCGCTCCAACAGCCTGCCGCACCCGGCAGGCGGGGGCAAGGCGGGTGGCCCAGGCACGGCAGCAGTGGCCGCCACGGCAGAGCCCGGCACGCCATTCGGCATCGGCCGCTTCGCCACGCTCACGCTGCAGGAGCGGCGGGACCGCGGGGCCGAGAAGGAGCACAAGCGCTACCACAGCCTGGGCAACATCAGCCGTGGGGGCGGTGGCAGCAGCGGAGACAAGCCCAGCGGCCCCGCCCCCCGTAGCCGCTTGGACCCTGCCAAGGTGCTGGGCACCGCGCTGTGCCCGCGCATCCACGAGGTGCCGCTGCTCGAGCCTTTGGTGTGCAAGAAGATCGCCCAGGAGCGGCTGACGGTGCTGCTGTTCTTGGAGGACTGCATCATCACCGCGTGCCAGGAGGGCCTCATCTGCACCTGGGCGCGGCCCGGCAAGGCTGTGAGTGCCCCAGGGCCCCTGCAGGCACAGGGGGTGGATGGGACACTTGTCCCTGGCTGATGCCCCAGAGCGGGACCAGCACGCAGGAGCTGCCCACTGGGCATGCGCATCTGGGTCCTGGTGGTTTTCTCCTTCCAGGCAAGAATCCACCTATGGGATTTTTAAATTTTTAAGACAGTTATTCGTGTCCTTTGGGCCAGAGCACAACCAGGGGCAAGATGGATGCCCACGGGCTTGGCGTGACGCCTCAGTCCTCCACTGCTGCAGGTGCAGGCTGAGAGGAGAGGCTCGGGTGCCAGTTGTGCACTGCAGGCACTGCGTGAGCCCGGGCAGGCCCCCACCCCCTGACCTCACACCTGGAGGCTCCTGCTTCCTGTGGCTTGTGCCCACTGTCCCCACTGCTCAGAGCTGGGCAGGATGCTGCAGCCTGGGTCCTTGGAGCCCTGAATTCCCGAACAGCTGGGGCGTGTAGTTTGGGTGCCTCTGACACAGGGGTGTCGAGGTTTGGGGGGTCTGATTGAATTCTGCAAGAGTCCCTTCCCCTTCTATCTCCCTAGTTCACAGACGAGGAGACCGAGGCCCAGAGAGGGGAAGGAAGTTGGCCCAGGTCACCCAACAAGTCAGTGGTAGAGGTAGGATTTTTCCCCCAAGTCTGTTCCCCTCCAACATCTCAGGGGGTCCCTAACCTCAGCCCCCCACAGGAGGGAACCCCAATTTCCCCCTCTCCACCTGCCTGCACCCCACCATTCATGCCCAGTACCCCAGAGGTTGGCTATATAAAAGAGCCACCTACAAGCCAAGGAGGCCAGCTGAGCCTGCTGGAGTGTGGGTGGCTGGACATGGCCATGGTGGCCATAGCCCTGGGGACCCCAGATGGTCCCTAATCCCACCTATATCTCTCCGTTTTCATTCCCCAGGGCATCTCCTCCCAGCCAGGCAACTCCCCAAGTGGCACAGTGGTGTGAAGTCCTGGATAGTGGGGGTCCCCACCCTGCGCCCCAGCCTCCTAGCCATAACCCTTTCATTGAGCCCACGGATGACTGCATTAACAAGACTAACCATGACATGGACTTGTGCGGCTCTCCCCGCCTGGCCCACGCTCGGGGCGGGGTGGGGCTGAGACGGAGCGTGGCAGCCCCTGTGGCCTCCCCACCCACTGCCAAGTACAATGACCCCTTCCTCTGGAACGCCAGTGTTACCCCGCACCCCTGTCCCCAGCATGTGACTGGTCACTCCTGGGCGCGGCAGGGAGAAATCCCCGGCTCAGAAGAGCCCCAGCTCCACAGTGCTGAGAGCACAGGCCGGGAGAGCCCCTCGCCCAGCCCCCCTCCACCCCTGCTCTTGTCTGTGTTCTGGAGAGTATTAAGTTATGGGAGCCCCTCGGGGTTCCCCCCACCCCCATGTCCAGGACCTTGTATTTATACTAAAGTTTCAGTGTTCGCACAGCGTTTTGGTCCCTTGTGCGGGGTGGGGGTGGGGGGGTGGGGTGTGTGTGTGTGTGTGTGTGTGTGTGTGTACGTATGCACTGACATGCGGATAAGCGCCGGCCCCCTACAGTGCTTCCTTTTAAATGTATTGATTTGAAAGAGTTACAGAGAAAGGGAGAGACAGATCTTCCATCCTCTTGGTTCACTTCACAGATGGCCACAAGGGCCAGGGCTGGGCCAGGCTAGAGTCAGGAGCCAGGAGTTTCTTCCAGGTCTCCCATGCAGGAGTCGGTTGCCTGCCGCCCCAGCCTTGAGGGCAGGAAATGCTGCAGGCCAGGGCATAGTGGAGCTGGACCGGGCTGGTCAGCACTGAGATGGGCTTGGGGGTTCTGAGGTGCATCCCCTCCCCTGGGCCCTCCTTATTACCTCTGATTGTCCTAGTGGAGCCTTCCCTGGAGGCGGGAATTCTGTACAACCTCCCTCTCCCTTGGTCCTCTCCCCTGCCTGGCAGCTGGGGCCAATCGCGCGGCTCTGGGCTCTCTGCTCCCTCCATGCCCCGAAATGTTTCTGTTTCTAATCCCAGCCTGGGCAAGAATGTGGCTGCCCGGCCAGCTGCCAAGAAGCTATTTTTGGGGTCTCACTTGCTTGGGGAGGACTCAGCTCCACTGCCCGCCTCCCCCAGGCTCTGACCAGCCCCCCACCCCATCCCAGTGTTCCCTCCCCTCTTCTGCTTACCCACCCCTTCCCCACTTGCCAAAAAAGCCAGTATAAAACATGGGGGTGACTGCGGGCTAAACTTAACTGCTCCCGAGTCGGAATCCAGGGCTGACTCACAGGAGGAGCTGCCCTGTCCCCCCCTGCCTCCCACCCCCCTGCCCAGTCCTGGTCCCTTCCTCTTTCCCCACCCCCACCCCCCACCTTGGTGAGGAGCGAGGGAGAGCTGTTCTGGATGTTGGAGCAGTGATTGGCCCCCTTTTGGCAATGGGTGGGACACCTGTGGCTATCAACTGTGGCCCACCTTTTTATGGGGGGGTGGGGACTGCAAGAATTGAATTCCATCCATCTGTCTCCCCAGTCCAGCCCTGAAGGGTTCTGAGAAGACTGGCCAGGAGGGACTTGAAGGGGGCTGGCCTGTGAGGGGTTAAGGCTGGGAGGCAGGAGGGGGCAGGCTCAGGGGGTGGGGAGAGAGGAGGAGGAGACCTCAGCAACTGAGAGAAGTGGCCAGAGAGGCCCAGGGGACAGCCAGGGACAGGCAGACATGCGGCCAGGGCTGCGGGGCCTGGACAGGGGCTGCTGGGCCCTGTGACAGGAGGAAGCCCCGAGCCCCGGCCCGGGGAGGGGCCATGGTGCTGCCTGCCCAACATGTCAGCCGAGGTGCGGCTGCGGCGGCTCCAGGCGCTGGTGCTGGACCCCGGCTTCCTGGGCCTGGAGCCCTTGCTCGACCTTCTCCTGGGCGTCCACCAGGAACTGGGCGCCTCCGACCTGGCCCAGGACAAGTACGTGGCCGACTTCTTGCAGTGGGGTGAGTGGCACCTCCATGGGCTCTCCCAGGCTGTGGAGTGGGGGCCCTGGGCAGGGGCAGAGGCAGGAGAGCCAGCTGAACCAGGGTCCCAGCTTGTGGTGACAGGATGGATTTGGGGTGATCCCTGCCCCCACCACACAGGTGGCCCAGAAGTTGGGCCTGGGCACTGGAGCCTCATACCCCTACTCACACATGCCACCCTGGCAAGCAAAGGAAGGTCAACCTGCCAGGATGGCCATGACTCAGAGCTATAGCGTAGGGGCCACAGCAGGCCGAGCTGGACAGTTTCCTGTTGTCTTGTACCCCATCCTCAAGGCTAGACTTAGAGACATGTGGGACTCCATCTCCTGGGACCCCCTGGCCTGCTTCCGCATGAACAAGGGTAGGCTGGGAGAACCGGCATGGGCCAGCTGCCAGGGGCGTGGCTGGGGCAGGTGTCCGGCGCCAGGCTTCCCAGCTGCCCTGACAGGTGCTGGGCACTGGGCGGGCATAGTGACTCACTCAGGCCCTGGGGGAGAACCAGCTTTGCAGTCAGGCGCCACTCAGCTTTCCCTCTGCCCACCTCCAGTTCAGGAAGGACAGCTTGGGGGTTTTGGGGGGGTGCCTACTTTGCCTGTGGAGTCTGGACCCCTCCCTACTCCCACTCCCACTCTTGGCTCCAGCCAGCCCACATGGCTCCCTGTTTGACTCCCCTGGAGGTGACCCTGTGAGCCCCTCCTCACAGTGTCTTCCAGGCCCTGAGGACAGGTCCAGGTCCACTGCACGGCACCTGGCACGCACTCCCCTAACCCAGATCTCAGGCGCGCTGCAGCTCCTGACACCTGCCACTCTCCCTCCAAGTGCCTGTCTCCGCCCCCATGCCCGCTCTTGCTCCTTGGCCTGCGTGTGTCACAGTGGCTTGTCTCTGCTCCTTCTTGTCTGCTAGCCTCTCCTGTGGCCCCAGGCTTGGGCCTCTCCCTCCTCCTGCTCTGCAGAGGGGGAGGTCAAGGGCCCACCTACTCAGCCCCTGGGGTCACCTTGGTCCCACTCTGGGCGGTGTGGGTGGTGGGTTGTCAGGGTAAACTGAGACCTGGCGTGGGGGAGGGGGATCCCCTGGAGGCAGCGCTCCTTTTGTGGCCTGAGCCGCATCCTGCGGCCCCTCCCTCCCCGGCCTCCCGGGCGGGGGAGGGGGCCTGGGTTCGCGCTGCCTTAAAAGGGCTCAAAGCCTGCTCCTGCGTCCCTCCCCCGTCCCTGGCCCCGGCTTGGGCTGGCTCCCTCCTGCTGGCCCCTCTCCCTTTCCCCCTTGGAATCCCCCAGAAGCCCCCCGCCGCCACGCTGTCTCCCTCTTCTCACGTCTGTTCACAGCCCACTCTGTCCTGCCTCTGAAGTCCCACTTCTCCCACCCACGAGGGGCCAGGCCTCCACCCCAGGCCTTGGCCCCTCCACACCTTGACCTGGAGCTGAGATGGAGGGGGCAGAGAGGCAGCCCTGCTCCAGCCCTGTTGCAGATGAGCCCCAGAGCACTAAGTGCCAAAGTGCTTGAGGCCAGACTGTATGTCCACGTGGGCACCAATTCCCCAGCCCCCAATGCTGTGTCCGAGGGCCACCTGCACCTGACCCACTGCAGCTGGGGGCGGTAACCCAACAAGTACCAGCTGAGATCCCGGGCAGTGGGACTCAAGCACGCAGCCCCCTCCCATACACCCCCAGTGCAGGCGGGTGAGGGGGGGAGGCATTGCAGGGAACTGGGCTCAGTTTCCTTCCCAAACTGGCTTCCCCGCTTCTCTTCTGAAGGGCAGTTTTTGGCACCCATAACTTCACAGCTCATGGTGGTGGGGAGCCCTTGGAAACGGAAGTCCTAAGCTAAAGCTGAGAGGCAGAAGGGCAGGCTTGGGTAGGGGGGCTCCTCTCTCCGCTTGTGACCCTGGGCCTCCCCCTGCTCCGCAGCGGAGCCCATTGCGGCAAGGCTTAAGGAGGTCCGGCTACAAAGAGAGGACTTCGAGATTCTGAAGGTGATCGGACGCGGGGCGTTCAGCGAGGTGAGCCCCGAGCGGCGGCCGAGCTCCGCCCCGCGAGAAGCAGGGGCCTTTACGGTGGGCGGAGCATCGGCGTTCTGGGCGGAGCCGCAGAAATTGATGAATGGCCGAGTGCTAGAGTTGCAGGCGGGCGGGCTTGGAGGTGGGGCCGGCTCTGGGCTCCGCCTCCTCCGGCCCCAGTCATTCTGCTTGGGCCTTCAGGTAGCGGTGGTGAAGATGAAGCAGACGGGCCAGGTGTATGCGATGAAGATCATGAATAAGTGGGACATGCTGAAGAGGGGCGAGGTGAGGGGCCGGGCTGAGGGCGGGGGCCGTCGACGATCACCCCCACCGTGCTGCCTCGCGCCAGCTCCGTGGTGCCCCGCAGGTGTCGTGTTTCCGGGAAGAGAGGGATGTGTTGGTGAACGGGGATCGGCGCTGGATCACAGAGCTGCACTTTGCCTTCCAGGACGAGAACTACCTGGTGAGCCCCGTGAGGGTGCTAGGGACGGTGGCAGGGAGAAGAAGGTCGGGTGCTGAGTGCGGGAAGTGCTTGGCATGGCCATGATCGGGGCCCTGAAGCTCCCCACTGCCCTGCCAAGGCTGGTTCTAAGGGGCTCCTGCTGGGAAGGGAGGGTCTTGGCTAGCATAGGGTCTTCCCCAAGTTGTGGCGTCACTGACGGGGGGCAAGGAGTACCTGGGAACTCTGCCGTGGTATGAGGAGGTCTCTAGGTTCTCTCCCCCTGAACCTCAGGGGGGAGCGAATCTGCCAAGCCATATCCCCAGGAGAGGCAGTTTTGGGGAGAGGGGAACCCGATTTGGCCTGCAGGATCCCTTGGGATTGGGCTGCAGGATCCCTTGGGATTGGGCTGCGGGATCCCTGTCTCTGGACTGAGCATCCTGGGCAAGTGCAGTGCTTGGTGCCTGGGGGGTTCTGACCCCTATGACACTCCCCCTCCCAGTACCTGGTCATGGAGTACTACGTGGGCGGGGACCTGCTAACGCTGCTGAGCAAGTTTGGGGAACGGATCCCAGCCGAGATGGCGCGCTTCTACCTAGCAGAGATTGTCATGGCCATAGACTCAGTGCACCAGCTGGGCTATGTGCACAGGTGGGCGTGGCATGGTGGAGGGGCAGGGCGGGGGCCAAGAGGCGGGCCCGGAGGAGAGGGTAGTGAAGCTTGCACCCTACAGAGATCCCACAAAGTTTGAGGCCCAGAGAGGGCGGGGCCCAAGGAGCAGGGTCCCCTGCATCATCCTAGAGGCTCCTGGGTGGGGCCCGAGGCAGGCGCCGCCCACAGGAGCAGAGCTTAGCCAGGAAGTGGGAAGGCGACTCCCCTATACCCCCGGGGTTCTCTCCGTGCAGAGACATCAAGCCAGACAACATCCTGCTGGACCGCTGCGGCCACATTCGCCTGGCCGACTTCGGCTCCTGCCTCAAGCTGAGGGCAGATGGGACGGTGAGCGTGCACCTGTTGCCCCGGGGGGAGGGAC